TCACGGAGGTCGGAATACCGCAGTGCGTATATACGCTGCCTCATAATGCAAAGGTCCCTGGTTCAATTTCCCCCACCGGCGGTGACAGCTTTTTTTAATTTATTTATTTAAAAATTCATCATGATTAAGATGTCATAACCTCACAATTTCAAATTTACCGCCATCAGCGCCGCCGCCATCTGCAAATTTGAACTTCGCGCCACCAGCGACACCAGCGACACCAGCGCCAACGCTAACTAGCGGCATTTTATTGAGGCTCTGACGATCAATCGGCTTTGTATCACTACTCGTCCATCAACAATTTTCCAGCCGCAATTAATGGGGTCTGGTGAATCAGAATACTGATCACGGGCGTTAATTCCCACTTGTATCTAAGAAGAAAACAGAATAAAATTAAAATCCCTCGATTCATTTTATTTTCTTGGTTGTTTTGTTAATTTTACTTGGAAGTGACACCAAAGGATTTGTTGAAAGAGGGCATCAGTGGTAGGTGGCAAAAACTCTAGCATTCGCATTGTCCCAAAAATTGCAACACGGGCTGCGTCTACCGTTGCAATGTCCGGTCCAACCCAAACTAAAAATGGTATTAGTATAAAAACGGCTAACAGTTTTTATTCACCATGTGTCTTAGAAATCGGAAGCAATAAACCTTGTATGAAGCTAGCATCACAAACTGTTCAACCAAACGGAGATCCTCGGAGGCTAGATCAGGAGTCTTTCCAAGCTGACTGAGGAGTTTACAGTAGTTTTCTTCTATGTACTGCTTCCACCGTCCTGTTTTTGTGACTGATGCTAACTCAGATGTAGTATCCCATCCGGTGCTTGCGTGGAAAGCCATCAGATCTTTGATACAAAAACAGTTGGCCAGCGCAATTTTGCTTATTTAGCGCCAAGAATGTACCAGATTCTACCCAAAGGTCTAACAGAACTTGATAATCTACGCCAATTCAAGAAAAAATTGAATGAATTTATTGCAAAGTATCCGAGAAATCAACTCATCAAAACAATAGACATGCAAAGATAAAAATTCGTGACACTTATATCTCACATTATTTACACACCTTCATCAATCAATACATCTTTTAGTTTCACACATTACTTATACACACTCTATCAATATTTTATATGTTATTTTATCTGTCTGATGTTTATCTATGCCTATTATGTTATTACTTATATTATTTTATTCACAAATCCAGTATTTATACATTTTCACTACACTTCATCTATACATTGTTATTAAAATTAAAATTAAAATTGAAATATGATTATAGATTATAGAATCAGTATATACAACAAACCAATGTATGTTATATAAATCTTAACAACTCACGCACAGGCAATCTGCCTTAGTGAGTTTTGCGGTTTATTGAAACTCAATTTCTGAATCCATATTGAATTTTATACAAAATTGTACTTTTTCAATAAACTATATATTATTATTATATTATCTGTTGTGGTGTGAGCTTCTTACATTGTTCGTGAATTGGAATATACTTTCTGTCTCGGGAAGTACCACACATCACCCAGCATTTCTTGCATTGCACTTTTTCAAAGTTATAGATGAATAATAAAATCACATCGGTGTCTCTAACTCTCTTTCGGTTTTTACCGCATGGAGTACCATCCTGGTATCAGCCTCTTTGTTTGACTCGGCTTGCGTCTCATCCACAAAACCACCAGCTACAATGACTTCTAGGCTGCCAAAGTCATACTTCATGGCTTCTCCGCTCAGGTCGGTCTTGTTTTCTGACAGGGAGAGGAAGCTGCTCCAATTCTTAGGTAAGGGAACTCCCTCGTTCTTGATTACTCTTCAAACGGGAGCAAAACCCTTTTCTCTGTTTTCTTGACTTTGGCAGCATGGAAGTCATTATGACTCGTGGTTTTGTGGATGAGACGCATGCCGAGTCAAATAAAGAAAGAGACCAG